GGGGGTCAACGGCCCCGCGACCCGGTCTGTGACCAGGCATCATGGTGGCTCAGGGCCTGATAAACCAAGCTGTTACTGCTGGCCGCACGCAACCCGCACCTGCTGGCCGCACGCAACGTACGAGCCACAGCCAGGCTGGTCAGGCACTGAGTTTAGGTGCCTGTCCAGTGCCTTCTTGAAGACAGCCAGGGGTCTATTGGTAATCCCCCTTATGTATTGTGAGAGGCAGTTGAACAGTCTTGGGTCCCGAACATTATCCAAGTGGATTTAGATGGCCTGTGATGAAAATTTGTTCCCCTTTCAATAAATACCAGGTCAAATATTGAAGGTGTGACGCCTTCTTTAAACTCATGTCACATCATTTATATGCCGAGGCATACGAAAGTCATTACGTTATATAACTCTGTTGACCACTTATTTACAGTTCCAGCTTCACAGGTTGCTCAACACATTTTTTCAATTAGTTTACGCACTAAGCTTCTGCATTGTAATGTTACAACAGTTGGTGGAGGCACGGCTGGATGTGTGGTGGCTGCCAGGTTGTCTGAGGTGGGTGACTGGAAGGTGTTGGTGGTGGAGGCTGGACAGCCCCCGCCTCCAGAGACCTACGTACCTGCTCTTTTACCAATGTCCTTCCTTCCCAACAGCCCTGCTCTTTGGCATTACAGATCCACTCCACAAAAACATGGACTTAAAAATTATGTAAACCAGGTAATATAATTTTGTTTTTCCTACTTATGACCTCCTATTTCCCAGGGTGCTTTGTAACTCCTAAGGCTTAAGGGTTTCTTAATGAATTTAATAACCTATCACAGGATGGTATTTCATGTCATACTCCATCATGCAGGATGGTTTTTCCTATTATATTCCGTTATAAGATGGTTTTACTCTCATACTCCATCACACATGATGATTTTCCTGTGGTGGAAAGGAGAGGTAGGGAAACGTTTGTTCCTTGGATCAAGATTTTTTCACCAAGATTAGAACTCCCTCATGAAGGGATGTTGTGTGATGCAGTATGATTTTAAAGCTCACCTGCATGATGGGTGTTAGATTAAACAGTTAGCTCATGTTCTAACCCTGTAAAACTCAGACAACTTAGTGTAAATGCACACGAGCACAAAACCTAATGGACCAGTTAGTTCAAGGGACAAATAATCGTACATGGAAGGGATCAAGAAAGGTGTGAGAGCTAATGGCTTAAGCATTAAACAGGTTTATTAGTCGTGTTAGATCGGAGTGGAGATAAGAGTTTTTAATACCTTGATGTGCTATTAGAATGTAAGTCAATATTTATGTAGGGATTCAGGAAAACTGGTTATCCTGACTTCCATCTTAGAGGTGAGAAGTACAGCGCCTACACTCGAAGACAATGGTTATGGATAATACATTTTGGTGGATCATTTGAATTTTGATGACCGTATATTTCTGGCAAGACAGCTTTTGAATGAAAGATGGAGAATGTGTAAACTTTTTTTGATCACCTTACCGTAGTGAGAGATGGCCGATAGTTTAAAAAAAAAAAACGAATATTTTTCTCGTGTACTAGAATCTAATGAAACAAAGTAATCAAAAACTCCTCAATCATTGCTGCAGCCCTTATTGACTTAATTTGTATTAAAAGTGTGCCTCTACTGTTTGTTTAAGCTTCGAGTATGATAAATTTATGGAACTTTTTAACTATTACAATAACATCACATCCAAGACAAATGTTACTAACGCATTCTACTTATGATTTGAAATATTTATTATGTACTCTATACCTAATGTGTTGGTAGCAATCAAACGATTACAGAGGCACATCATGGGGTCAAGGAAATGAGCCGAAAATTTTTCCATTACCTAAATTTGTATTTTTGGTTCAGGAGGCGGCATTGATGCAGGGTAGGGCAGTGGGCGGTGGATCAGCAGTGAATGGGTATATATACAACCGCAGTAACAGGCGTGATTATGATCGATGGGCAGCCATGGGTAACCAAGGCTGGGACTCGGCTTCTATTCTTCCATACTTTCTCAAGGCTGAAAACTACAGTGGTCCACTGATGTCTAGTACAGGTGGGTTGTGTGTTATTTTAACATTTTAGAATTATGTACAACTCTTGTGTACCTACTTTTGAATCCTAGTAGCTAGGCTAAGCCCTGGCATTTTCCCTCCCTTATGACACCCCTCTCACCAACCTATTCTTAAACTATCCCATCTTCCACGCTTAAATCTAAAAAATCTAATCCTCAGAAAGGACTTTCGTGTACATAAAACTAAGCTACGCTAGAATCTTATTAACTTTGGTTTGCTATTTGTTAATAATAATACTTGTAATATTTTCGCTATTATTACATGTCAATAACTAGTGTTGTTGTGGTGATATAGAGAAGTACTACGGAAGAAGTGGTCCTCTGGGGGTCATCCCTGGCCTATCAGGGTCCTTGCAACAAGCCTTTATCCAGGGAGGGCGTGAGCTGGGCTACCCGTCAAACGACCCCAATGGACCTGAGCAGATAGGTAAAAGTTTTTATTAAAACACAAAATGATAAACAGTTATTCATATTTGGATCTTAGTCATGCCAATTAATGTGTATTTTTATGAAAATGGCAACTCTGGTTGAAGTACAAGGTCCAACGTAAGGCTGCTAATTGTGTTGTCACGGTGTTTAGTTGTTCAGGTCAAGGATAAATATCGTTTGACTAATAAGCCAGTAATTATTTTCTCATGTCTGGAAATGTTTAAATTGCTTGCGAAAATCTCAGATTAACATTTATTTCAAACACTTTATTATTTACAAAGCTCATGCTTTACTGCAGTCAATAAAATAGCTATATTTTTGTGATAAAATTTATATTATTTCATTATTTGCATTTTACATTGTGGGGATCAAAACCGTGTTATTTTAGCCCACCTCGTGGGAAGTAAATCAAATTTCACGACGCTCTAACTACATCAAACTTGTACCCAGTAGCACTAGGCACTAGGTTGTGGTAAACTCAGAACTAATTTCGTTCTACTCCCGTTTGATATGCCAGCCTTCACGAGCAGTATACATATTACCGTGAATTTTGACTTGCTTCCTACGAGGCGGGCTAAAATAATGGGCTTGATCTCCGGCTAGCCGCAGTTTGTTAACTGTTTAAAAACCCCTTGTTCGTGGTTGCATTAATATATATACTGCTCATGAGAGCTGGTCTATCAAATGGGAGTAGAATGAAATTCCGATCGTACCACAGCCACGTATGCCTTCGCATCATGAAATATGCCTAGTACTACTGGGTATATAATTTTTTTTTTTTTGGATTGTTTGTTGGCCCAGTAATTAGTGTCGTGAATACTGATTTGCTTCCCACGAGGCGGGCTAAAATAACACGGGTTCAATCCCCGGCTAACAGCAGTTTAATTGCTTAAAAACCACTTCCCTTGTGGTTGCATTTATATATAATATATATAATATATTTTATAAAAAAAATATATTATAATATAAAATATTTATAAATATATATATTTTAAATATAAAATATATATATATATATGCAAAACAACCATTTCGAAAGAACAGAAAATTCCAACGCTTTCGTGACTACTCCATTTATCAAGGAACATGAAAGTAAACCCATCCAAGGAAGCTATAAAAGGGGGGCCCCGGCCAGCACCTAAACATCAGATCCCAAGGGTTTTAAACACCTGATGCCCCGCCGCCCCCAATTTGGATAGGTCCTTTGCACAACCACCCAAAAACAAATTCTAACCCAAAAAAAATTTAAAAATTATTTTTTGTCCAGTGTTTATTAAATTTTTTCCCAAAATTTCTTTTAATTAAAAGGGAAATCAAATTTTATAAAAAAACCGAAGGAAATATTCAAAATTATTTTTCAAAACTCTTTTTTATGAAACAAGATTCAAAAATTTTCCCCGGGTCGACCATGGCCTTGCTTGAAACTATTTTCCCTCAACTTTTGAAAATAAATTGGGGAGGGGAAAAAATCTCTAAATGAATAAATAGACTTTGGGAATTTTTGTCCAGTTCAAATGCAATTTTTTATGTTGTTTTAAAATCTTAGTTGGGAGTTTTTTCCCCCCTTTTTGGCCCCGTAATAAACTTTATCGAAAATTTTTAACGGGGAAAATCTTATAGACACACCCCTAGCTTTTTTGGGGGGAATTCTTTTTTCAAAAGTTTTTTTACTGAAATCAAGATTTTGAATAAAACTTTAATAAAAAAGTCTTAAGAAAAAAGGGGGCCTATCAACCAATTTTTCAAGGAAAGGGGGAAAAACCAACATTTTATTTTGAATAAGGCGGGTTGCCCCCTTTTTTGGATTTAAAAAAGTATTTCTAGGAATTTTAAAAGATTTTTTCAATTACATTTTTTGGGTTTTTTTAAATCTTTACCTATTTCAAAAATTTTTTGGATATTTCCCCTCATTTTAAAACCCCAGAACTAAAAATTCGAAAGCCCCCAAAAAAAATTTTTAAAGGAAAAACAGACATTTGCCCTCTATCTTAAAGCAAAGGAATAAAGTGGACATGGGAAACCCGTTTTTTGTGGGTTTTTCTGAAAATTTTAAAATTTTTGAATTCATTTTTAACCCTTAAAAAATTTAAAACATCAAAAAGGCAATGATTTATTTTTTTTCAAACTAAACAGTAAGGTTAATAAAGGGGTTTTAAAGCTTTTTAATTTTTTCCAAAGGGAAAAATGGTGAATACCCTACATTTTTGGGCATAAGATACAAAATATCATAAACAAAACGAACCATTTACTCTATTGGGGAAGGATTGTGTTAAGCAACCTTTTTTTAAAAAAATTTCCCCATGTATAGGTTACAAAAGAACAGGTGAAAGGGTTTTTCCCTTTGCCAAAACCAAAACTTTTTTGAGTGAAAAACTTATCATTAAATAAAAAAAAATTTTTTTGGCACCCAAACAATCCCAAATTTTTAATAATTTTAATGATAGAAAGGAACTGGCAAGGGAAAAACATGGGTTAACGAGTTTTTCAAAAAGGGAAATTTTAATAAATCATCAACGGAATTTTCGAAAACAAGGAAGTAACATAAAAAACAAACCATGTAAAAATCATTTAAGTCATTTAAAAGGGTTTAAATTTATAAACCAAGTCATGTTGTTTTTAACATTAAATTTTTAGAAATTTTGCCCAAAAATAGGGCCCCAAAATATCAAAAAGCCTTTTGGAAAATTTTTTATATGAAATTAAACCCAAAATGGACCCAAAAAATTTGGGTTTTGACGGTTTCCCCTTTGGTTTGTTGTTTTTATTAGCCAAACATGTAAGGTAAAGATGGTTTAAAGTGGAAGAAAATTGTTTAAACTAATTCTTTTTTGCCTTTCAAAGAATTTTTAAAATTTTTTTTATTAAAAATGCGTTAACGGTTTCTGGGGGTTTTTTTTCCTAATTTTAAAAAAGGGTTTTTCAGTATCATCAAAAAATTTTAAATTCTTTTTTTTCCTTTGGAAATTTTCATTTTCTTTCATAATTCCCAAAATTTGGTTTTTAAAATTTTGTCTGCTTTATAAGGCGCAAATTTTTTATTTTTAAATTAAGTTACAAAAACTTAAAAATTTTTGGGGGGAAAATTGGGGAAATTTTAAAAAAACAACTAGATTTGGGTTTGATAAATTAAGCTCCTTGACTGACAAAAAATGATTTTAACATGGTTATTTTGATGTTACTTCCTTTTTTAACATGATGATTTTTTAAGTTTTTTTATCTGAAAACCGAATAATGATTTACCTTTGCCAGTTCCTATTTTAAATTAAACTTTTTAAACTTTGCATTGTTGATGAAAAAATTTTTATTTAATAATTTTTTAACACTCAAAGTTTGGAAAGGCCCAATGGGAAATCCTCTTTAAACCTTTTCCCTTATTAACCTATCATGGTTTTTTTTTGAAAAAAGGGTTCCCTTAACGCAATCCCCCTAATAGAGCTAAATGGTTCAAAATAATGGTTTGATTTTTTGTGTCAAAACCCAAAAATGAAGATATAAACCTTTTCCCCTTGGAAAATTAAATAGTTTGGGGCCCATTCTAAAAAACCTTACTTTTGATTTTGAAGAAAAAAAACCTTAAATTTTTTTTCAGATTTTTAAATTTAAATTAAGGGGTTAAAATTTGAAAAAGAAAAAAGGACACAATGCAACAAAATGTAACATTTTATTGGGCAACTTTTTCGCTCTCCAGACCCTTTATAAAAGCCAAAAATTTTAAAAACCCAATACGGTAAAAAAAAGGGTAAAAATTGAATTAAAATTTTAAAATTTACAAAAAACCTACAAATAACTTTTCCTATGTCCACAAATTAATCCTCGCATCAAGATAAGTCAAACTGTCTTTTTTTCACATCAATTTTTTTTGAGAGTTTTAAACAAAATTTGTAGCCCTGATTTTCATGGGATGGGGAAATACCCAAAAATTTTAAAAGAAATGGGTTAATTTTTTAAAAAATACCAAGAAATGAATTGAAAAATCTTTTAAATTTTCAAGAAATTTTTTTTAAAAATTTCCAAAAAGGGACACCACCTTTTCAACTAAAAAAAATTTTGGGTTTTCTCCCTACCATGAAAATTTGGGTTTGATATCCCCTTCTCTTTTTAAAGACTTTTAAATATTAAAGTTGTATTCAAAAATCTTGATACAGTAAAAAAAACTTTTGATAAAGAATTCCCCCCAAAATGCAAGGGATTTTGTCAAAAAGATTCCTTGTAAAATTTTGCGATAAAAAAAAATTACGGTAAAACCTGGAAAAAATCTCGAACTAAGTTAAAAAAACAACATAAAATAGAAATTAGAATGGAAAATTTTTCCCAAAAAGCTCAAATTTATTCAAAATAAGAGATTTTAAACCACCCAAATTTGATTTTAAAAAATTTTTGGGGAAAGGGAGTATCAGCAACCCAATTTTCGACAAAAATAAAATTGAATCCCCTTGTTTGCACAGAATTGCTAAATGCCTCAAATAAAAATTTAGGAATTTTTTAAGCAGAAAAGGGTCGAAACCCAAAAACCTAGCCCATTGTGAAAGTTTTCAACCCCTCCGGTTTGCAACACCCCAAAGAAATTTCCAGGAAAAACCCTTTTAAAAAAATTGAAAAATTTGCCCGGGAAAAAACCTTCCAGCTCCTGCACCCAACATCTTGCTCCTGGGGGTTTTTCAAAAAAAGGGGAAACCTAAAATGGGGGGAATTATAGCAAAAAATTTGTTGCAGTAAAAAAACCCAGGGGGCCAAAGCTCGATAAAAAACTCACTCACGCGACCCTTTTAAAATCCTGCAAAATTTTTTAAAATTTTAAACCACAAATAATAGACCCAAACAAGACTGGAGAATACATTTGACCTCATCTTCACTAACAAGAGGGAATCTGATAAGAATATCACCAAATAAAAAACCCAATATACCCCGATCACAACATAATTGAGGTTCAGCCCAAAGTATCCCCGGGGGCCCCCGACCGACTTAAGAGACTAGCCCCACGAGGACTTTTTCAACCAA